ATTGTTATATATATTAACAACTCATCAATTAAACATTTCGTGAGCTTAGAATTATAAGGATTTATCTCCGTTTAGGGTTCTGAGATATTGAGCAACAAAGTTTTTACATCCCAGCTGGCAAAATTGTTTATGTAGTATAATCTTCTATTATAGCTTTATCTATATTAATCTTTTTTTTTTTTTTTTACAAAAGTAACACCACACAGACATTAATAAACACCTAATGGATCAGATTATGTCAAACTCAATTTCGACCAAAAGTGGAGATAGAACCTTATAATTCTAAGCTCGTGATTTTTCATTGCATATTCTGCATTATTGGATGTTTTTTACACTGACCAAAAAAAAAAAAAAAAAACTATAAAGTTTTATGGCTGGACGATATGATGATATGTAGGCTATATACAACACTGATAAAAGTGATCACCCGGATTTAGACCTACCTATATTGTATTTATATAAAGAGTTCGCAGGCAAATTTGCTTAGGTCTATATTGCCTTTATTTCCCCTGTGTTGAAATCAGGCAAACATAAATGTCAGGCAATATCCTGCATGTCAATATCCAAGGATCACTGGATCTTTAGTAAGTTGTAAGGGACACTATATTGAGTCCAACATTTAGTTCAAATTGATAAAATTGTTCGTTTTAGTCACATTTTCCCAGTTTCTCCTGTTAAATCCAGTCACGCAGCAGATCTTTTGCCACTCGGTCAGGCTGAGGGAGGTTGTTCTGGCGGGAAAGTGACATCAATGCATTCCCTCTATAGTGAGGGGGGACACTATACTGTAAAACAGTCTTTAAGATGAGATGTTAAACCAAGGACCTGAGTGTCTGTGGTCATTAAAAATACCACGGCACTTCTCGTAAAGAGTTGAGGTGAATTCTGGTGTCCTGGCCAAATTCCTTCCATTGGCCCTTATCAATCATGTCCTAATAATTATAATTCCCATCCATTGAATTGGCACTATCACTGTCTCTGCTCCACCTATAGCTGATGTGTGTTAAGCCTATATCCCTTTGTGTGTACAGCAGTACATCATAAAAAAGCTCTATATAAATGCTTTCTTTCTTCACATAGTTTGAACCTGCTGGTGTCATCATAGATATCAAATAATCATTTAACCACTTGATGTTTCTTCCACTTTGACCTAGCCATGAACACCTACAAATTATTACATTCAATACAATACAAAATCAATACATTCAACAAATCTTAATTTAAATATTCTTCACCCATTCAGTTTGTGATTTTGAGAAGTGTCTTGGGAAGAAATGTGATTTGGGATTTGAGTTGGCATCAAATAGAACTGAAGGCAGTTGCTGTCCACCCTGTGGTAAGTCTAAAATTGTCTTACTTATTCCTACTCAAATATCATTGGTGTTTGCCAAAAGCCTTTTGTATTTTCCAAGAAAGCAACTAAAAACAAAACAAAAAAAAGTTTCTCTCATAGTTTAATTTTCCTTATATAGTTATATATCTATATTGCTGTGAGTTGTTAGAAAAAAAGATGAGAAACAGATCAGTTTTGATCATGATCATTGGCTTGTACCAATTTGGACAGTTTAGAATGTCTTCAAAGGTGTTGCACATTCATGGTGTTTGTTTGCACTTTAAAGCTTCAGTGCCCATTGATCTTAACTGATTGGAAAAGTGCATTCTTTCTTCTTTTGTGTTCCATAAAATAATGAAGGTAATATGGGTTTTGTGATGATATGAGAGTGGGTAAATGATATCAGAATTTCAATTTTTGGGTGAATTTTTTTCTATAAGCAATTCCCAAAATTGTTTATTTTTCTCTGTTCAGTGCCTAAAGACGTCTGTGTGTACAATAACACTGAGTATAAGGTGAGCTGGGTTCATTTAATATTAATGAACTATTATAGATGGAAGACTGGCTTAATTAAGCGAATGTATTAAAATGATCAGGTTCTTGTAAGTTTTTGTATTTGTTATAATTTATTTAATTGATCAGTCTGTTCTGTTCTTCAATGGAGTCCATCTGTTTGTTTGTTTTTTTCAGGTTGGAGAAGTCCTAACTCACGAATGTGTAACTGTTACTTGCCATAAAACTAATGGCTTGTTTCAGATTATGGAGAACATCACAGAATGTGGTTCACAAGACTGTGATCCTGTAAGTAGAATCTCTAAATCCACACTTGTTCTGTTTGTACTTTGGCCGTTGCTTTCATACTACAGTTTATTTTTATCGGTTTTATTTTATTTTGATCATCTACTTTTTAACATCACCTTTTACTCCTCTTCACTGATTAAACTGTTTTTCACTCCAAGGGGTTTAAATATGAGATAAAAGCTGGAGAGTGCTGTGGAGAGTGTACACAAGTGGCCTGTGTTTATGATGCACCAAACAACACCAGACAGACTCTCAAGGTACATTTAAAAACATTCTCACACTTTTATTCATTCTTTCAGTTCATCAGACATTTAAACTATTCTGTTCTTCAATCTTCATGGTGTTTATTTGTCTTTTGGTAGATTGGAGAAGTCCACAGTTACAAATGTGAAACACTTGCCTGCCGTGAAGTCAATGGCTCACTTATGACTGACAGGAGCTCTGAGAAGTGCTCTTACTCGAGTCAAAGTGACTGTGATCCTGTAAGTAGAATCTCTAATCCCACACTCGTTCTGTTTATACTTTGGCTGTTGTTACAGTTTTTTTCTGATATTTCTCTAATTTTCTTATATGATCAACTTCTTTTTAACTTCACCTCTTAAGGCTGATTTATACTTCTGTGTCAAATAGTGATTTAGATAGAGTCAGATTGATCGGCCGCCGATCATGATTGGCCGATATTGGCTAAAAATAGCTTGATCGGCGAACCCTAAAAGCCCAGATCAAAAAAGCAGATCACGTGACGTAGATTAGTTGCGCAACTTTTTTCCACCTGCATGCGCGGAGCACAGGCACGTAAGACATGACGTCTTTTGACCATACGTCAACATCCGCCGTTTTAGGGTACCCTTTAACGGCAATGAGCACTTTGATCTCTCGATAAAAATAAAAACATTTCAGCGCTAGATCACCTCTTATTTAATAAATGAACAAAATGAATGTTCTGCTAGTTGATTAATATTTTTCAGATCTGATGTAGTTGGTTCCTCAACTACATCAGACGTTCATAATAATAACAGGAAAAAAATTACCATAGTTTTGTCCTTTTGTCCTTTGTGGCAGTAGCCAGTTTTGGTGCAACAAGTTTTATATTTTGCTGCCAATTATTAAATGTACTCAGTGTATTAAGAGGCTACAATTTCCAAATATTCCTAAGTGTAACTTGATCCCATCCCATTAAGCTGATCTAATGTGTGTTGGTCTGCCTGACCCCTCTTTGATTTGAATAATTTTATGTTACTCTGCCTTATTTGGGAAAGATGGCCTACAGTAGCCTTAAGTTATCTCATTTTCTAAATGCAATTAAATAAACACTTGGTGGTTCTGCAAGATCTTGACTGTAGCCTATTTCTTCAACCCCCCCCCAATACAGTTATTTTAAAGTTAGTTTCATTTCTACAAATGGTGCAAACTCTGCTAGATTATAGATAAAAGATTCCCATTCCCCTCCCATTCTGTGATCGGCAGTGATCGGCAATCGGCAGATCATGATTTTGGTGATCGGTGATCGGCCCCAAAAATGCTGATTGCAGCATCTCTAGCGTCCAACCTACGGCTTAACAAAATAATAGGCTGTGTAGCATGCGTAGCCTATGCCGTAACCTGACGTGCACCTCTTCAAAAATGTAACACCGCATACATTTTATGCGGACTGCAAGCGCTGTGATTGGTCTGCTAGAACCCCTCCTTCAGGTTTCACATGTTCCCTCTGCATGTGTAATTGCTCGTCAACGTGGACAACGCCGCAGAAGTATAAATGAAAGCCGATGCTTAGCCTAGAGTGTAGAGGCTCTGGTAATTTGAAAATCCAGTTAAAGGATTTGCCTTTGTTTTTTACACCAAGGGGTTTAAATATGAGCAAAAAGAAGGAGAGTGCTGTGGATCATGTACACCAGATACCTGTGTTTATGAGACACCAAACAACACCACTCATAGTCTCAAGGTACATTTAAAAACATTGTCAAACTCAATCTACTCTTGTTCTTCAATCTTCATGGAGTCTGTCTTTTGTTAGATTGGAGATGTCCGCAGTTACAAATGTGAAAATGTTAGTTGTCGTGAAGTCAATGGCTTGCCTATGACTGACAGGAGCTCTGAGAAGTGCTCTTACTTGAGTCAAAGTGACTGTGATCCTGTAAGTAGAATCTCTAAATCCACACTCGTTCTGTTTATACTTTGGCTGTTGCTTTCATACTACAGTTTATTTTTATATTTCTCTTGTTTTCTTATCTGATCATCTTCTTTTTAACATCACCTTTTACTCCTCAGTGCTGGTTAAATTGTTTGTTTTTCACTCCAAGGGGTTTAAATATGAGATAAAAGCTGGAGAGTGCTGTGGAGAGTGTACACAAGTGGCCTGTGTTTATGATGCACCAAACAACACCAGACAGACTCTCAAGGTACATTTAAAAACATTCTCACACTTTTATTCATTCTTTCAGTTCATCAGACATTTAAACTATTCTGTTCTTCAATCTTCATGGTGTTTATTTGTCTTTTGGTAGATTGGAGAAGTTCACAGTTACAAATGTGAAAATGTAACTTGCCGTGAAGTCAATGGCTCACTTATGACTGACAGGAGCTCTGAGAAGTGCTCTTACTCGAGTCAAAGTGACTGTGATCCTGTAAGTAGAATCTCTAATCCCACACTCGTTCTGTTTATACTTGTTAACACTTTATTTTAAGACCCGCAAACAACTGCATAAGTAAACCGAAATTACGGATGTATGTTTCTGTAATTATAGCGTACTTCCCTGTAGGTATAGACCATTTCAAAAGATGTAAACAACACTGGTCCAGAAGCACTTCCTGTTTCAGTTTTTTAACACTACATAAAAGCTAGGATAAAATACAACCAACAGAACATTTAAAATTGAATCAAAAAGTTAAAAAAACATCTTTAAGATCTTTTCTTTACATGTGAAATAAAGAAAACAGTTACAAACTGAAACAGGAAGTGTTTCTGGGCCAGTGTTGTTTACATCTTTTGAAATGGTCTATAAAGGAACAATATTTATATTTTATAGATAGTTTATTTATTTTTTTATTTTTTTTCTCTTTTTATTATTATTATTTTTTTTATTTTTTTTCTAATGTAATTTTTTATTGAAGATGTATATAAACATAGGTAGATATGTATGTTGTTTTTGTTTTTTGTGTGTAGAGACAAATAGATCAAAATGTTCGGTCAACTGGTTAATTAGTTATAATTAGTTGAAGATGGGGTAGGATTGAATAAACTTATGCTTCTTCCTACTCCTTTTCGGACATGTGTAAGTTAAAAAAAATTTTTTGTTTGTTTTTTGCTTGTTTGTTTGTTTTTTTCTACATGTTCGAAATAAAAACTTTTCATTCATTCATTCAATATGTTAAGTTTTTGGGTAATAAAAGGGTAACAAGCAGATATATAATGTGGATATATAATGATATATAATAATTATTTATAATGTTATTATTTTAAAACTAACAGGTACCTATTATGTTAATATGTTCCAGGCAAATATAGTATGTCTATTGTATATAAAAGTTATCATCACATTTCTGGCAAAATATGTTCTTGTGCAATTTTACATTTAATTTTGGCATCTGTCGGTTGACTTAATATTAAGGAATCTAGTAAGAAAAGCCAATAAATTAATTTTTTCTCATACTGTGCTTACATACAGCCAAATATATATATATATATATATATATATATATAGCCTACATTTAATTTTCAACCCTCAGTTGTCAAAATTACCCTGTAAAATTTCACAAGAACATATTTTGCCAGAAATGTGATGACAACTTTTGTATACAACAGACAATTTTATGTACAGTTATTGGCTGGAATATATTAACAGAATAGTTAGGCTACATGTAAGTTTTAAAATAATTACATTATTAATAATTTTCTTGCATATCTGCTTTGTTACCCCTTATTACCCAAAACTTATCATATTGTTCCCTTATACTTACACGGAAGTATGCTATAATTACAGAAATGGGTTGCAGTTACAGCAGTTGTTTGCAGGTCGTAAAATAAAGTGTTACCTTGTACTTTGGATGTTGCTACAGTTTTTTTTTCTACTGATGTTTCTCCTATTTTCTGATCCGATCAACTTCTTTTTAACATCACCTCATAAGGCTGATTTATACTTCTGTGTCAAACATACGGCGTAACTATGTCATACGCTGTGTAGCACGCGTAGCTACGCCTGACGTGCACCTCTTTAAAAATGTAACAACACGTCAATGCGGACTGCAAGCACTGTGATTGGTCTGCTAAAACCCCTCCCTCAGGTTTCACATGTTCCCTCTGCATGTGTAATTGCTCGTCAATGTGGACAACGCCGCAGAAGTATAAATGAAAACCGATGCGTAGCCTGAGCATAGAGGCTCCAGCGTAGGTCCGACGCAGAAGTATAAATCAGCCTTTACTCCTCGGTAATGCTTAAAGTCTCTAATTTGAAAATCCAGTAAAAGGTGCCTTTGTTTTTTACTTCAAGGGGTTTAAATATGAGCAAAATGAAGGAGAGTGCTGTGGATCATGTACACCAGATACCTGTGTTTATGAGACACTAGACAACACCACTCATAGTCTCAAGGTACATTTAAAAACATTGTCAAACTCAATCTACTCTTGTTCTTCAATCTTCATGGAGTCTGTCTTTCTTTTGTTAGATTGGAGATGTCCGCAGTTACAAATGTGAAAATGTAACTTGTCGTGAAGTCAATGGCTTGCCTATGACTGACAGGAGCTCTGAGAAGTGCTCTTACTTGAGTCAAAGTGACTGTGATCCTGTAAGTAGAATTGAAATCCACACGACACACTTATTTTTTAATGCAATATGTTTTTTTCCGAATTCATTCAAAAGTGGAGATATAGATTATATAGACACCAGCACACAACAGCAAACACAGCATGAGCCATTATATCATAATCATGGGCAAATTATTCCTAAGAACAGGGTCTGGAAGCACAACAATCTTCTGGAAACACAACAATCAAAAAAACAAAAAAACTTTTAAGGGCTGTTCGGTAACTTTAGCCTCTTATTCGCTGATTTTCACTTTTCTTGTCGCATGTTTTCTTAACAAGCTCCCCCTATAGCTGTGGTGCGAATATTTCACAAAACTGACGTATATTCAGTTGCGGCGCTCTCCTCCCCTTTCTACCGTAAACGCGCTCATGTGCTTTTGTTATTGTCGGATCCGGTGTGTTGAACAGGAGTCCCAGACACTCAAGTTTTATAGTGTGGAGCTACTGTATGTCTACCGAGGTGGGTAATACTTAATACACAGTATCATTTAACATTGACATGTACGTTTTTGTTTTCTGTTATCAACCATAATCCATAACAGGGGGTGGGCGGATGAATCTAGCAAACATTACCGCTTATTCTTATCTTAGTTATAGATTAATCTACCCCCAAAAGGAACTGTAATAAAGTTTGTCTTATAATTGTACAGACAAAGCTCACATTGCAGTCTTTGTGGACTGGTAATGTAGACAGGATACATTATTGGTTACAATCAATGTTTTACATGTTATTAAAGAACAATTATAGCCTACATCATAACAGAGTCGACCAAAGTATAAACAATTTTATTGACACAGAAACGCTGTACTTTAGCTCTCACCATTCCGTAAACGCACGACTAATATTTATTCTTGTGCTGTCCCTCGCTCGGCCAACAGCTTTCTTCCTCTCCCTCACCTGCTCCGCCGACTGAGTACCATCTCCTTTTTCTTTTCACTGGAATTTGTGAAACATTATCCATCGTTGCGTGTTGGTTCTTTTAGCTAGCTTGAGGGGGCGTGTGTTTCGAATAGCCATAAAGCAGTTTGTGTTTCTCGCTTCTCACGAGACTTTCTATTTCCAACTTACCGGGACGGTAGTCCTCATGTTGCAAGGCTGGTTTTCCGCCTGGGAACGCTGGGGGGAGCGGGGAAAGTCTCACTAGAACTGGTTATTTAAACATCCAAATGATTTCTAAATGGATTTATTAAGTTAAAAAAGTTGCTGCTTTAATTAGGATGTTATTATATTCAAGAAGGTAATTGTTAAGTTCTGTTTCAAGAAAAAGGATAAATAACATTCTTGGGTATACTGTATTAATACTATAAACTTGTTTTTTTACACTTCAAGTGCTTTGACTATGTGAAACAAGAAGATGAGTGCTGTGGATTATGTCAACAAAAATGCTGTGTTTATAATGCGCCAGACAAGACCAAACACTTTCTCCAGGTACAGTGTAAAACATTCTCAATGTTTTCTTTATTCTATCAGTTCATCAGATAAAGTATAGTATACAGTATAAGTATACATCCTCATCTAGACTCTGTCTTTTTGTTTAGGATCGAGAGGCGTACAAGTTCCAATGTACGACTGGTACCTGCAATAAAGTGAATGGCTCGTTTGTTATTATGGAGAGCATTGAAAAATGCCCGGACTTTAATCCAGAGGACTGTATACCTGTAAGATTGCATTTTGTGTTAACTGTTGTTTTCTGCTAGTGCTTAAAGGTCACCCAAAAATGAAAATTCTCACAGTAATTACTCACTATTGTTGTCCCAACCCGACTTTGGTTCATCTTCGGAACACAAATTAAGATATTTTATGGGATTGAAACTTGCCGGTCCAGAAAAGTTATTAAAGACATTGTTAAAATACCATAGTCCAAGTGACTACAGTGACTCAATCTCAAGTTTATAATACGACAACAAGCGACAATAATACTTTTTGTGTGCAAAAAACAAACAAAAATAATGACTTTATTCATCTATTCCTCTCTTTCTCTGTGGGCCTCAAGATAGTTCACGGAGCGTAACAGCACAACGCTTTTGTGTTGTACGTCACATGCATCACACACCAGACCATCACATGACCAGCGTTGGCCAATAGTGAGCCTACATTGTGACGTACAACACGGAACCACTATGCTGTTACACTCCGTGAACTCACTCGAGGCCCACAGAGAAGGAAATGAATAGTTGAATAAAGTCGTTATTTATTTATTTTCTCGCATTTTTTTACAATGGTGTGAAATGTTCTTTTAATTCTCTAGATAGCAGTGTAAAATAAAATAAAACATATTTTTTAATATGAAAATGTGCAGAATATTTTCAGAAATGTTTAAATAGCGTTTTCTATTCTCATTTTTTTTTTGTCTTTACAGGAAACAATACAATTTGACATAGATGGATGTTGCAGGAAGTGTAAGATATTTTTATGCTTAACACCCTGACAATATTTTTTTTATGTTTAAATCATTTTGTCCACCTTACTGTGTTTATGCAGATCATTTAGCTGATGTTAAGTAAATCAAAAATAGCAAATGCAATGCATGTATTGTTCATGAGTCTCAAGCTTACCTGCCTCTATTATCTTCCAGGTGAACCCAAAAACTGTGCTATTGTGAAGAACGTCACCCGTCTGCATGTCAATGATTGCACTTCCATCGAGGATGTAGAAGTCACTTCCTGCACAGGCCACTGTGGCAGCAAATCAATGTGAGAGCATTCATTGCACTATTGATCACAAACATTTTATTTTTTTTCTTTCCAATAGACTTTATGCCCAGCTGCACTACTTCCTGAACTTCAGCCAGCTCCTTGTTTCCTGTCTGCCGTTATTGGGCAAAATTGATTAATTCAGGTGTGTCTGATTATTGTTGCCATGACTACTGAGGACAAGCACACCTGAATTAATCAATGTGTCCAATAATGGCAGACAGGAAACAAGGAGCTGGCTGAAATTCAGGAAGTAGTGCAGCTCTGCATAAAGCCAATTCTCAGATAAACTGTAAAGTCTCAGAGATAGAGTAACTATACTGACATAGTGTGCATAATATCTGGTCAGACTTCCTTTCTGAAGACTTTGCAATAAACATGGTGTAATTTGTAAGTGTAGCTTAGCATTCATGGATGCTGTATAGGATAAACAGGATAAACTCACATCCAGCTGTGCTAAACTCACCTGACTAGTGTTTTCTTGGAAACCTGCACAGGTATTCTATGGACATGAACAATATGATGCACAACTGTTCTTGCTGCCAGGAGGAGAATTACAGCACACTGCCGGTGAAGCTGAAGTGTGCCAATAGCAGTGAGATCCTTCATCACTACATGCACATAGACAGCTGCTATTGCCAACCACTTAAGTGTAACGGGACTAGCATTGGATAAAAGTTCCTGCTTTGAATATGACTTAGTCTGATTCATAAAGAAAACAATTATTTTAAAATGTCTATCCAAGCTGATTGTTGTACTGCATTATTGGCTCAATTTATTTAGGCAAATATTGCACTATTATTTTTGGTTTTTATAACCATGGTGATTGTTAACTCTAAGAAAAATCCATTTTGTAATCTCTTGAAGGGACTACTGGGCATTTTTTTACTTTTATTTGTTACACTCTCTGGTAATGCATGATATAATAATCCACTGTAATTTTTCTTTCCAATGACATGAATTAAAATAAAGCATAATAAAGAGCATCAATTACAGTCCCCTGATTTTTTTTCTCAGAAAAGTGGCAGTGAATGCACTGAAAGTAAATTACTTTCCCTTTTAAAGGTAAAAAAAGTTTTTTTGTAAAATAAAATTACTAATAAAAATGACACACACACAAAAAAAAAAAAAAACTAAAGTCTGATAAAAAAAAAAATCTGGATAAAATGAACTTAAACCCTCATATGTCCCTAGTTTCCTGTTTACATTCCTCATCTTTTAAAAATGTATAGAGTAATTATAATATATATATATATATATATATATATATATATATATATATATATATAATAGTACAAATAATATATATTTTTATTTAATTTTTTTTACTTCTCATCCACACATTAATGCTGTATTTTGCGAGATTTGAAGTACTTTTGTTTACTGCAAAATTCCTCAGCTACACAATTAGCATGCATATTAAATATTATATTTTTATGAAAAAATAGGCATAATTCTAATAATTTATGGCATAATTCTGCCATCTGCTGGTTAGAATTTTATTTTAGCATGTAATATACAGTAGTTAGAAAGTGTAATTACCATATACTTCGAGCATAGGCCCCATAGAGATCCGTTCATTTTTCTAGAGGTGACTTAACTGCTCTTAATAACAGCTTTTGTTATGAATGTACAGTATATTTAAACATTTTAAAATACATTAAATCTGTATTTTTGTCAAAGTTTAGAATTTGTTGTTGTTATTTTAGGTATTTTGAAGTGTCATTGCAATAATGCCACATACATTTGCAGTAATGCCATAAGTTGCCACTAAAAGAAAATACTTGATTGCAATTACATATTATTTATTGGTAACACTTTACAAAAAGGTTAATTAGTTAACTACATTAGTTAACATGAACTAAAAATGAACTGCACTTCTACAGCATTAATTAATCTTTGTTAATGTTAATTTCAGAATTTAATGATACATTATTAAAATCAAAGGTTGTATTTGTTAACACTAGTGCACTGTGAACTAACATGAACAAACACTGAACAACTGTATTTGTATTAACTAACAAAGATGAACAAATACATTAACAAATGTGTTGCTCATGGTTAGTTAGTTCATGTTAGTTAACTAATGTTAACAAATAAAACCTTATTAAAAGTGTTACCTATCTATTTCAATAATTCAAATGTATAAAATTATTAACTTTAGAATAAGAAACTATTTTTTAGTAAATAAAAGTTAATAAAACGTTCATTCCACATTGCATAGTTTGATACCAGGCCTTCATTTATGTGTGAGAACCGTGTTTATTAACTACGGAAAAGTTGATTGGGGTCACATAGACCCAAAGAACTGGATAGATTATTTTTGGTCAAATTTCAACTTTAATCTTTGGCATATATTTAACTATATTTTTGCAGTGTGAGTGGAGGTCAATGAAGGTTTCTATACGCCAGGAAGAATCCATGTTGTCTCTTTTTAGCTTTTGCAGTCAAAAGATTTTCCTTTCGCATAGATCCTGTCCATGGATTAATAACTGTGTCTGTTTTAACATCTCATTCATTAATTGATGAATGACCTAAAAATAGAATCTTAAATGTTTCTTATATATCTCATTTTACCTCGCATCTTTAAACTTGTTTATATTCAGGTTTCAATGCAGTCACAGACTTTTGAATGTTAATCTTTAACTTTAAATTTCTTTGAGCCTAAATAGTACATTCAGAATTTGATATGGATTGTAAATTATTGTAAATTGGACAAATAATCATAATAAAAAATACTTGACTCAATGGTCAGATTTTACACTTTCCCTGGTATTTCTCTTGAACTGACTTGAACTCAGCACTTCTGATTAATGAGTCGATGTACTGCCTTGACTTGTACTATACATAACTCTCATGTCAAATGAGGCAGTGTCAATATAGAAACTCACAGCACTACAGCAGTGTTGGTTTATCTAATCAATGTTCTACATGTTTGTTCCCTCCCTTTGCCAACACTGTGCCCTGTTTCATGTAAGGGTATATCTGAAGAACAGCTGTTTCTTTTACATTGTCAACACTTGCGTTTGCGGTGCCACAAAGAGGTGGAGCCATCATCTCACTTTACATGCACATCAAAAACCTGATGTTTGCCTTTGGAGGAACTTTTGTGCTACTGAGAGAAGTTGTTTGAATGGTTGCGCAGCTCTCAATATCATCAAATTATGATATTTGCTGTTGATTGAACAATGATTTACAAAGGAGTGCCTAAATTTACTTTCTGTCTGATGGCCTGTCTTATGATTATTCACTGGGGATAGTAATAAATGAAGGGCCTTTTCAATAAACCTTTCTTTAATTCAATTAAATTAAATTAAGGTTACACTTTATTTTGATAGTCACTTAGACATTCTACTAACTATAAGTAACTTTTCAACTACATGTCAACTAAGTGTCATTAGAGTATTAGTAGGCTGTATAGACTGTCAGTAGACTGTTAGGTTAGGGTTAGCTGTTAGGGTTCAGGTTAGGAGAATAAGTTGACTTGTTGTTGCTAAGTTACTTACAGTCAGTTGAATGTCTGTTGGGGGACCAACAAAATAAAGTGTTAGCAGATATTAAGCTGACAGTCTACTAATACTCTAATGATAGTTAGTTGACAGTTAGTTTAAAGTGTTACCTAAATTAATTAAGAAAAAAAACATGTTTGTTGTACCTTTAGATGAAAAAAGTATATTATATCAGTGTGTCTTAATTTGGAAAGAAAAGGAACATGTCAAATTTAATCATATATGTGCGTATCGTATGCATGCATATCATGCTTGTAAATGAAATCACTGTATGTTTTTATTACTCAAGAATTGTCCCCTATATAACTCCCCCTGCCATGATTAGATTATTAGAATAAAATATAACATTTTCAGATGGGGTTTATGCAATATTCCATTCTAAATGTAACTTTGTAAAAATATTGACACAGGAACAATCTTAAAGGAGAATTCCGGTAGCACTTTGAGTCTATTTTCTAGTTTGTTTTGGATGAACTATAGTGGTGGACACAGAACTGTTGACAATGGGTCCTGTCTCGACTTTTTGACTCTTGAATCGCCCTTTGACCGCTTCTTCTACTGGCATGCACAAACATGTCCTTAAAACAACCCTTAACATTCATTTTCAAAACTCACAGAGCGGTTGGTGGTGTTCGTTGATGATTAAAAACAAATATATCGGCGCAAGGTATGATTTTAATCCGTGTTTGCTATAGTGGATTATATTTGCTAATTATTTGCTATAGTGGAACTATTTTTTTTTCAGATACTGAGTCACAACCACGCATAAACTTCCGCTCGATATGTGTGTCATAGCACACTCCCGTCCACTTGATGGTACAGTAGCACAGTAATATCAACAAGCAATGAGTCCTCCAACAGAAATCAATGCGATTTTACAAAATGGCAAATAAAACACGACAGAAACTGTGTTTTGGTATACTACTTGTTTTGGAACATCAACGAACTCCGCTCAGTTTTTGAACAGTTTGAGCACAATCTGTCTCGATTGCGTGCTCGCTCTAGATTCCGGGAGATTTTAACTAATTTGCGGCATAATTATTCGATTACGAGTGGCTCAACAGTTAGATATATAGATAAACACTTCTTCCAGGCAGATTTGACCAACTATTCAGCGTGAGAAATTAACACAGTCTCATCCCAAAAAGTCACATAACTGACGTCTTGGGACGTTTTTTGACCATACGTCAATATCCGCCTTTTTAGGGCCCCCTTAAACGTCGGTAGATGGCGATCCCGGGCCGTCATACAACTGACGCTTTACCTTTAACGTCAGTAAGGTGACGGGTTGGGTTTAGGGTTAGGTTTAGGTCTGGGGTAGAGTTAGGATCCCATAACCTCATCTACCGACGTTTAAGGGGGCCCTAAAAAGGCGAATATTGACGTATGGTCAAAAGACGTCCCAAAACGTCAGTAATATGACGTCTTGGGATGAGACCGGGTTGGAGAAATCGGTGGTGTGGCATGTGAAACCAATCAAATGCGGGTGTCTCACGGCCAATGCGTGAGAGTTGGCAGCTCTCAAACTGTATTTTATTAAACCAGGCCCTATCAAAACAGCATACCCTTCACACACACTGGTTTGCTGTTTTGACAAAGTAGACTAAATTGACAGACACCGCTAGCTATAAAACTCAACTTCCGGTATGCTATTCTGACAAAGTATGCTACATTGACAGAACACCAGCATTCTAGAACCTAGAAGTACTGCATTCCCAGACAGCAAACTGACATTGAATCAATGTGGAAACAACGTCTCTCATGACATTGAAACAACGTTGATTTTGCTCATCAAATTAACGTTGAACCAACGTCAGACGCGGCATTCTTCAAAGCTAAATGCAAAACGAAAATTGGTTTGCTTTCATAACGTTGAAACAACGTTGATTTCAAGTTGATTTTCCGTTAGTTTTGAAAGTATGACGCGTCTGAATTTGGTTCAACGTTAATTCGATGAGCAAAACAATGTCAGATCAACGTTGTTTCGATGTCATGTTTCCACGTTGATTCAATGTCAGTTTGCTATCTGGGTTGTGTGTTTCTGCGTGATCAGCATCAGAGACTGACATGGAAGAGAAGAAATTGTTTTAATAAAGTAATTATAAAGGTATTCTCATCATCGCTTCATAATATTAAGATTGAACTACTGTAGTCACATGGCCTATTTAAACAAAGTCTTTACTTTCATCAAAAATATCTTAATTTGTCGGAAACATCTTAAAATGTAAGATTAAGAATGATCATAACATTGTAACAGATTAAAGTAGGTATGTTCTGTTTATGCGTGTGTAACACATTCTGTCCTTTGGGACTTGCCATAGGCAAGAGGGGAGGAGCATGCGCATAAGCAGAACATTACTGTAGCCTTATAGCTCTATACCTACTTTAATCTGTTACAACATTCCTAAAAGTTTCACACCTACAGCACACCTATAGCCTAGTCATAGATGCACGAACATGGATTCTACATGTCTAAAGTATATAGAAGTGTTATAAACGCCTTGATTTTAGCTTAATAACTTAAAATATAATCTACATGCACAATAAACTATAGTAAAATGTATTTACATATCTCAACACAAAGGTTTTTTCAAGTTTTGATAAAATGTTATTTAATAACAGTATAGTCATAATAAGCAAATATCCACTACATGCCCAAGGCCATTGTCAACACACTCGTCAGAATCCTCGGGCAAACATCAACGGTTGAACTGGCTCATTCTTTTAATTTTAAATCGGACGTGCTATGCTGTGCTTCATCAACTCAGAAGTAAAATTTTATTCAATGCAATTAGTGAACCAGCCCGTTCGTTTACTTCCTGTTACTTTTACTGTTTTTTTTTTTTTTCTATACAGAGCCTGTAAAGGGACATGGTGAAGGAAAAAAAAAAAATGAGATGGGAGGAAAACATATTTTTTTCACTGCTTTTGCATTCTCTCGCAAATCTTCTGTGTTCCCCCGAGAAAATCTGCATTCGTTGTCAAAATGTTTGCGTGCTTCGAGAAGCATGCGTTCGCTCGCTAAATGTTTGCGGTCTCCTGAGAAATTTTAAGTTTACCCCCTAAAAACTTTACAAAAGCATTGAAATATATTCCATCACCATGTCCCTACAGGGGCTCTGTAAATACAACATATTTTTAGCATCATATTTGTCTAAATCTTGTCCGAATGAGTTTATTTTTACTGCATCTATAAAAAAAATAAGAAATTACTTCAATTGTGTAAATTACTTATATCCTCTCAATGAGACTCCTTTATTTTATTTTATTCTGCAATAAATAATGTAACGCTTTTTAATGATAAATGTTAAACCTTTAGATTGAAAAAAATAGTTGAAGAAATACCCATTAATGGTTATGGCTGACATCACATTTCTCACAAGGCAAAAAATGATCAGGATATGACTGCTGCCAGATGGTCAGTGATTAGTTTGTTTTAATTCACGAAAGCACAGGTGGCATTCAGGAGCTTGAGACACACCTGTGTACCTGCAAGGATGCTGAACGTCAAATTGTCTGCATCACAGACAGGATGTTCAAAGCTCACACGCAATCATACGTTGTCACTTGAAATGTACTGCCGTTTGGCTGCATCTTGTCAAGGAAAATTTGATTTATTTGACATTTATGATCATATCCTACTTGTGAAATTCAGACCATATGTCCACACATTAAAGACTCTAAGTGTTTACACAAGACAATCATTTTAACCATTAGTCTTCATTTCATTCCACAAATCAGCTGCTAAATAGTTTATTAATCATGTATTGTATATTTATTTTGCAGGTTTTAGTAGTGAATGTTATTTTTACTAATCCTCCTCATACATGTACACAGAAGCTGTAAATTATCACACCCTGCTGTAAATATGAAATTCATTTGATACATTTTCGTCAAACATCGTTCAGAGAGGCCGAGGAACTGCCGCCCGCCTGAACACACACACACACACACACACACACACACACACACACACACACACACACACACACACACACACACACAATGCCATCACTGGACTTTTGTAATACCAGGTCAGCTTTTTTTTCTGCGTCATGCGAAGGCTGGTAGACCCTCCCTGGAGGGTGGTAAATGAGAAATGATATAAAAGGAATCAAACAGTACTGAAGCTCTACCTGTAGACCTTTCTCACCTCCCACCATGGAGTGGAAAACATCTGCAGTCTGCATACTACTTCTGGCGCTTACCGGCATTCAGGTGCATTCAAAGAACGGTAAGAGTTTAAGTATTCTTGAGTTCTTTAGGGCGTTATTAAAATGGGTTTAATTATTTTTATTAACATTTTTGATTAATTATTTCCCTATATATATATATATATATATATAATTCATTCATTTCTCATTTTATTTTAATATTCTATTTCATTTAAAATATTGAATTTTTTTTGGTCTAAATCCTGTTCTTATGAATTTAATGTTTTTGCAACTAAACAACAATCAAAAATGACTTGATACTTAATCACATTAAAAAAATATGAGTTGCCGTTTGGTGCCCTCATAATAAGATTTCTTTATTTTAGTTTCTTTTTTTTAATTAATAAGTAGTATTGGCAGTCGATATCCCATTTGTAAGCTTTTATACTCAAGATCCAATATCTGAAATGTGTTTTAAAATCAATTAAACCTGAAATGATCTTGTCACATAGCATGATGTTGTGGTTAGAAACAGCATCAGTGTCCGCATCTGGGGTGAAAACAGGAACCAACCACCTGATAACATTTGTGAACGTCATATTATCATCACTTGAACCTGATGCTATCAGCTCCATTGATGACTTGCTTTAGAAGTTACTAAATATTCTCAGTTGTGAAAAATGTCAAAAGTTCAAATGTCAAAAGTTACTTTCCTTCTGGATAACTCGAAATTTAGTTTGATCATCTTTGTGAAATTTCACGGATTGAAATATTTTTTTTAGCAATAATGTAAAAGTTAACAAATCAGTTTGAATTATGTTTTGCAAACAAAAATCATAATTGTAATTCAAATTAGTGTTTAAGGACATAAAAATGGAAATAAGTCATGTAACTATTGTAAAGCATATTCTTTCTCATACACATGTTCTCTACCTCTATGATAAAAAATCACATGATTTCTTTGAATTACAAATCTTTGTTTTCTCCCTTTTTTTGCAGTCTATCCCAGTAACCATGTCAACAGCATCTGCAGCATGTGGGGAAACTTCCACTTCAAGACGTTCGATGGGGACGTTTATCAGTTCCCTGGCATGTGCGAGTATAACCTGGTGTCTGACTGCCAAAGCCTCATTCGCCAGTTCTCGGTTCATGTGAGAAGAACAGAAGACACCAATGACCCGAAGATCAGCAGGGTGTCAGTCAGTATCAATGACATCATCATTGAGTTGACTGAGAAAGAGGTCATGATCAATGAACAAAAGTAAGATTCTGGGGAACCCAACTGCTGCTTAGTTGCTCCCACAGCAAAGGCTTAAAAATGAGTCCGGTTCGGTCAAATTTTCATTTGAATCTTTTCTCATTTTTCAGAGTAACACTGCCTGTGCATATCACAGGGATCCTTGTGGAAGAAAACACCATTTACACCAGACTCTATTCCAAAATGGGCATCACTGTCACATGGAACAAAGAGGATGCAGTTATGGTAAGGTTATGTGGCTCGATATGAGTTGAAAACAAATTTAACTACAGATTCTTATAAGGATATTAGTCTGATTTAAGTTTTACAAACCTAAAACACACTAAACCTTGAACGATTGATGAATGAATCTGGTTACAACAATACAAGTAATCTGTTATTGAATCAGACACTGCTGCTGATGTTTTTGATTTTTCTAAATATAACTGTCTCACATGAGTAATTTGTTAGTGAATCGGACTACACTTCTTGCGCTCAATGATTCAATATAAAAGAATCAGCTTTGTGATCACGCTATATGCTTGTTTTAGCGTGTTGGCCACAAAAACAATTCAGTCGAAAGACGGTTCTTCCCACTAATTTGTGGTTCATGTTATCCGATCAGACAGTAAACTAGCATAAACTTGGGAAAAATAAGATTTATTGTGATATGGTGCTGTAGATTAATCAAACGGTAGGCTTACACTAATTTGCATAATTCTCTGATGCTCAAATAGGCGGGCAATGATTAAAATTAATGTTATGTTTATAACCATGTTTCATATATTCTAATAATACAGTTTTTGATTTGGTAAATTATATTCATAAAGCACTTTTTTAAATAGTTGTGGGAGCAGAATTAATACAACATGACAGTGTTTAACTAGGGAAAAACTTGTTTAGGCCACAGGAAACTGCTAGCAGACCTTTCAAGGGAGTACTTAACCAGTAAATGATTTAGCATATTGTGCAAACACTGCAGCATGTGAAGTGAAACGCTATATAAGGCAATTTTCTGTCACACATTGAAATATCTGCATTTTGTTTCCTTATGAACATGGTTACCAACAGTGAATTCCAGCCTGCAAATTTGCAATATTCACTGGTGTATACCTACAAAAAGGAGTACCATGCAAATACCATGGTATATATGTATGTGGTAATAATTTCGTAACATAGTATTATTAACTGAGGCCATCATGTTACTGGTTCCAATGGCTTGAATTGGCTTTTTTTTTATCAAAAGACTGAATACAAGTGATGCCTATTCCATATTCCAGTGTTTGTTCATCAACTATCACTAGTACTGACTTGATGTCCAAATGGCCAAAAATACCAAGTCAAAAATGATCTAACCAAGAAGTTTTGTGTGCTATTGTTAGGTGGAACTTGACTCCAAATATTCCAATCGGACTTGTGGACTGTGTGGCGATTTTAATGGAGTTCCAGTTTATAATGAGTTCATTGAATCCGGTAAGTTACTTTCACAGTCTGATTTCTTACTTAACTGTTCATAACTGACCCCCAATAATGATTACCAAATTCAGCAATGACTAATGCTCATCTGATGAAAAATCCAAGCGGTTTAAGAAGATCTAAGAAGATCAAGTGTCTATATCTTATCTTATTTAATACAGGACGGAGGGTTGGATATACTGAGTTTGGAAATAATCACAGAGTTCCCAACCCAACTCATAACTGCGAAGATCCCTTTGAAAACATCGATGAGCAAAATGTGGTGGACCAATGTGAAAAATATGTAAGATACAGAAAAAAGTTGTTTATTCCAAACTAAACTATTAAACTAGCAAATCAGAATTCCAGTATTGTTAATATGGACCCTCCATGTCCTTTTCACAACAGCGGGCAGATTGTGCAGACCTTTTGGAGGATGAAAAGTGGTCTTCTTGTAGCTGGGTTTTGAACCCTGAGCCATATATCAAGGCCTGTACAAGTGATATCTGTTCACGTCAACCTGAAGATGAAGAAAACGAAGATAGAGACACCACCGCACTCTGCGCGACTTTGTCTGAATATTCACGTCAGTGTTCGCATGCTGGAGGATCTCCGCCGAACTGGAGAACAGCAAAGTTCTGTGGTAAGAAAAACCACAGACTTCTTGTGTAAATTATAGGATTGTTCGATCTTGAGTGTTTTCTTTGGTTTGTTTCCTTTTGTATATAATTCTTTTTGATTGTTTACATGGCTACGGTAAGAGGAATCCAGGCAATTTTCCTCTTTAAATTAATGTTTAAATAAAATAGAGATAGACCAAAGATTGAAAGAATAGAATAAAAGTGTTTATCTTAATTTTGTAACACCGTGACAACACCAGATGCGAGTGTTGCGACATGACAGTACAAAAGCAAACAGTTCCCATTATAATCAGATGCTGTCTACACTGGATGCTGCAAGATGCCTCAAGACAACTGTTGCGTCCGGTGTAGACACATTGTAAGTCTCTTTATGACTTTTTTCCTATGCAGCTGTGACGTGCCCCTACAATATGGTACATTCTGAAAGTGGCTCCCCCTGTATGGCCACATGCTCACACAAAGACACAAACACACTGTGTGAGGAACACAACATCGATGGCTGCTTCTGCCCACCAGGTCAGTACNAAATGATTCTTCAGTACTCTGTTTCCGATTGAGAATCAGTTCCCATCCAACAGGACTACAACCACGTAGATTGCGCAGACATTGTTTTAATCTATTTAAGATTTCACTCTCAGGCTCGTTTTGATGCATTGACTGCACAATGGTGCCTGTCATCAAAGCCGGTGGTATCTTATAGTTCAGGACATCTGGAATTGAGCTGATAACAATTTGCCAAATGTCTTTTGGTTCAAGCTGAAATGCATGTTTTAGGCTAACAATGCGTCTCCACCATGGTTCGAATGGCCCTTTCAAAGGGAATGGTCCGATCTCTGCTTTAAACGAGCTACATTCAGTTACCGTTAGAGGACGCCGAATGGTTGACTCTGTGCCGTTTGGGTGCCGTATCACCTTAAAGGCTGAAACAGACACTTCGTTCAAAACTTTATCACCTGTTTCATCTGTCTGAAAAGATACAGGGTTATTAGAGCAGGCTGACTCGTTTAAGAAGCGCATATTTTTAGTCCCATTGCTGTTGAGCGTTTTGGGAGAAATTGACTTTTCATCAGTTAGTTTAGCCTTAAGATCTGCAATGGTGTATTTGTGATTTTTACACTTTTCAGTCAGGGCTAATTGCTCAGCTAGTAATCTGTCTAGCTGTGTTTGAAGATCTTGGATCTTTGCCTCAGACATTTTTGCCTCTGCATTTTTAGAATGCACTTCTTCACATTTAACATCCATAAGCGAGGATAGAAATGTTGTTGACTTATCTAGCCGTTTATAACTTATGAAGTTTAAAGCCTCAATTATCTCATCATGTTTTGATTTCTTTTGTTTACTACCCACTGTTTCCCACCAAGTGAGAATTTCATTGTCAATAGCGTCCGTTTTAAGACCTTTTTTAGTGAGTTTATGCAGTGTAGGCTCGACCTTTTCGGCCCATAGTGTAAACAGGACAGAATCTTTATACATGTTCCAATTTATATTTGTGGAAATTTCTTTCCCTGAAGCTTTGAATATAAAAAGGTTTTTGTTTTATGATTAATGAGATGCGCGTTCACAGTTTCTGATTCTCATCTATGTTCCTATGCGTGGTTTTTCCACAGCTATGGGAGATTTCCACCAAGGATACAAAAATTCAGACTATATGAAGCAAAGTAATTTTAACGTTTGATAATTCTTTTCATTCTTTAGTTATATTTTCCCCGTTTTTAGATTAGGAAACTATATCACTCTGCGGTCCTTCTTCAAAGTCCGCATGCCACACTCTCGCCAGGTCCGGTCATCAAATCAGAGGTAATTTGACTAAATATCTAGGATTTGCCGTTCCAAACGTGCACAATCACAGATATATATTTAAGTCCCCTTAAAACCTCCTCGTTTAAGTACACGTAAAATGATACCAGATGTTAGCCATTGCTAAACTGACGCAAAAACTGTGGAAATATACGAATCCAATCTCTACTCGGGAAAATAATCATATCAGAATGAGTTCAAACGTGGTAATATTTCGTTTTCCAAATATGAAAAGTATTTCTGTCTCAAATTCTTTTCATTCTTTTCAAGAATTAGTGAGCATTGTCAATCACATTATAACCACATTCAGCATAGACACACACACACGTTTAATTCAGTTCACACAGAATACATAGCCTTGAATACAACATCAACAGCCTTTACCTAAGTGTTCCAAAACACTTACAGTAAAGCAATCCTGTGTTTAAAGAATAAACTTACATTTAGCCTATGTGCACATATAGTAGCACAAACAACTATACAGTGTGTTCTATGAGTGCGTTACATTGTGAAGCACAACTCCAAATTTGAAAATACAAACTATCGCATTATTGCTTTTTAATCCCATCTGCGTTACAGTGGAAGCTTTCAAATGCAATATAAAGTTTGTCAAGATTATGTTTAGGTTTATTATAGAATATTATTCAATGTGGCATCTGGCCCATGGAGGGCTAGTCAAACAAAGGGTTAAGTGTTTGAATGCAGCATGTTTTTAGCATTAGCATTAGCCTTTTAGAGGCCGCATGGCTTTAGCATTAGCATCATTGTTTAAGCAGCATGGCTTTAGAATTTATAGTCTCGTTTTGGAAGCAGCATGGGCAATACTAGCATTTATCTTAGCCTCGTTTTTTCTAAACAGCATGGAAAACTAGCATTTAACCCTGCTAATTGCGTCTTAGCCTGTAAATCATATCATTGTATTTTTTCAAAGTTTTCCTTTCATAAACAATGCATCGATCTGCTTCATTTATAAAATTACGTGTTTTCCGATCATTTACAAACTTATATTTTTATTTCTGTTGTTTGTCGATTCTCTTCACGTTGCTGGTTTGTTTCAACAAAGCCACTATAATAATGAAGTCGAACATGCAAGTTTTGTTTTATAGCTCCTCGAGTAACGTTAAGTCTACCCGAAAATCATTTGAAAGATGTTATTTCAAATTTAGGTTTCTTTTCTTTTTGCCTAATCAAACAAGGATATCTTTAAAATCTATTAAACAAGGGTTTTATACTTTTATCTGCGCGCCGCGGCCGTTATCATGTCCTCACGTTTTAGTTTCGGACTAAACAAAGGGCTTTCCGACCCGCAATCACGGCAAACATTTTCTCAACACTTTTCAAAAGGGTAGAAAAATGTGACTTACCACAGTGGCAGAAGAAAGGAAGATGTTCAAACCTCTTGTTGATTTTAAGATTCCCGTAATTTGTTGGAAAGGACGTTGTTCGCGAAATCCATCTGTTGCGATCACGGAGGCGTGTCACCACTGTAAAAAGGGCCACGAAATCGACCCAAATCGCGGAGTTCGATTCGTGGTGAAGGTTTCAAGCGCGTTCCGTCTTTCCAAGGCAAAGTGATGTTAATTAAATGCAACACATTTAATCTTATGTATTAACTCGTTTCATCTGACTCCATAAAATGAAAAGGGTTTATCAATGATATCTGTTTATCATTAAATATGTTAATGCTTGACTATTACTTTTAACTTAATGAAAATAAAGTCAAAGTCTGTTAGAATAGCCAAATATAACAATTTATTATGTCAGGTAAATGTATCATTAGAATTCCACAAGATAATCAGAGCAAACCATCAAATGTTTTAGAACAAAGAACTTTACCCAACATATTACATGAGCTGAGTCTTGAAGACACAACATCACGGGCTGATCTGAATACAGAAAGGCAGCCTCGCACTCTCCCGCTGCACCCTTTAAATAGCCAGACCTATACCTGATATGTTAATCTCCAGGTTTCAATGGAAAGTTACTGAATCCCCCTACCATGTTTATCGGGGGCAGACCATTTGCTTGGTTGTAATTTGCATTCAGACAACAAGGCAGAAGGTGTTAACTCAAAGACCACACTCCTTTGTGTGACCGTGATTCCTAAACTTCTTAAAAACCTTATTACCTTTTCTTTTATTACTTTGGGAATGAGACACTATTACCAGTCACCCTGAGACCATCAAAATGATTCTAAACAATCCTTAAAGATTATCAGATTCACATTAAAACCATATTCTTGTGAGCTTTCAGTATCATTGACTGAGAGTGAAAGAGAGAAGATGCAGATAAGATGTTCAGAGAATAGGGGGTAGGGTGTCAAATGTTAATTTGCAAGCAATGCCTTTTGTCTTTAGAGGCCACTGGTCAGATATTTTCTCTTTAACCAGTTTTCCAGTCTTACAACATAGACAGGTTTTGATAGACCACAGAGACCGCCACGATAGGCCAGACATAGACAGGTCTCGATAGACCACAGATACAGCCACGATAGGCCAGGCTTAGACAGGTCTCGTTAGACCACACATATATAGCCATGATGGCCAGACACAGACAGGTCTCGATAGACCACAGATACAGCCATGATAGGCCAGACATAGACAGGTCTCGATAGACCACAGATACAGCCACGATAGGCCAGGCATAGACAGGTCTCGTTAGACCACACATATATAGCCATGATGGCCAGACACAGACAGGTCTCGATAGAGCACAGATACAGCCACGATAAGCCAGACATAGACAGGTCTCGATAGACCACAGATACGGCCACGATAGGCCAGACATAGAGAAGTCTTGATAGACCACAGATACCGCCACAAGGCCAGACATAGCCAGGTCCGATGGATCACAGATACAGCCACAATAGGCCAGACATAGACAGGTCTCGATAGACCACAGATACAGCCACAATAGGCCAGACATAGACAGGTCTCGATAGACCACAGATACGGGCACAATAGGCCAGACATAGACAGGTCTCGATAGACCACAGATACAGCCACGATAGACCAGACATACACAGGTCTCGATAGACCACAGATACAGCCACGATAAGACAGACATAGATAGGTCTCGATAGACCACAGATACGGCCACGATAGGCCAGACATAGAGAAGTCTCGATAGACCAAGATACCGCCACGATAGGCCAGACATAGACATGTCCGATAGACCACAGATACAGCCACGATAGGCCAGGCTTAGACAGGTCTCGTTAGACCACAGATATAGCCACGATGGCCAGACACAGACAGGTCTCGATAGACCACAGATACAGCCATGATAGGCCAGACATAGACAGGTCTCGATAGACCACAGATACAGCCACGATAAGCCAGACATAGACAGGTCTCGATAGACCACAGATACGCCACAATAGGCCAGACATAGACAGGTCTCGATAGACCACAGATACAGCCACGATAGGCCAGGCTTAGACAGGTCTCGTTAGACCACATATATATAGCCATGATGGCCAGACACAGACAGGTCTCGATAGAGCACAGATACAGCCACGATAGGCCAGACATAGACAGGTCTCGATAGACCACAGATAGAGCCAAGATAGGCCAGACATAGACAGGTCTCGATAGACCACAGATACGGCCACAATTGGCCAAACATTGTCAGGTCTTGATAGACCACAGATACAGCCACGGTAGGCCAGACATAGACAGGTCTCGATAGACCACAGATACAGCCACGATAGGCCAGACATAGACAGATCTTGATAGACCACAGATACAGCCACGATAGG